GTCTTAAAAGAACCTTGAATTTTCGCTTCTGCACAAGTGATAGTTCAGAAGAAACAAGAGTAATTTTCAGAAAACATTTACCGTAATATTTAGAGGAGACGCACTAACCTTTAGTCCAAGGCTTTACTTGATTTGCCACTTATTTTTTAAATCCACGACTAGGCCATAACAATTAATTTGTGTTTTTGGACGCGTTTCTCGTTTTCTCGGTGAAAATACAGCCTCGAGAGGATATTTGTGATGTCATGCGTTTAAACATTTCACCAATCCCACCTGCCGAGGAGTCAGGTAGTTTTGGTCCAAACTGTACTGCTGTCAATGCAACACCTGAGAGATAAGGGAGTTAGCACAAAACAACGACAAATAGTCAACATACTTAGCACCATGCTAAACGAATTGATAACAGCAATGTGTATTCCATCCAGGATGTGCGTATAGCAAACTGCAAATGTCAAAGCCCATCTAGCTTTATCTTTAATACTGAAATCAGACAGCCCAAAGAGTATCTGCTAGTATCTGCTATTAGTAATTCAGATACTAGGAGAGAAAGAGAGAGAGAAAGGAAAATTTGACATATCCATCGGTAGGGACGCCTGATCACAAGGAAGCCTTTCAACGCTCACTTTGCATCTGTAAAGCTCCAGTGAGCGTCAGGCGCTCGTTCTTTCAATGAACCTGGTTTTTTTTGTTTTTTGTTTTTTTTTTTAATTTTAAAAAGATCAGACAGTTTGTACGTGAGATACTACTTCACCCTTCTTTTATATAGTTCTTTAACCGTTCAAATTAATTGAAATAGGTACCTTCAAATTACTTTGCCTATCCTTAGTACCCCCAAATTAAAGCACACCAGGGACTGCAGGTCCAGGACACTGTGACATGTAGTGTGGTTTGAGGTGGTCGAAAGCAAAGCAAATCGAATCGGTCAAAAAAATCCAATCATTCGCATTTTTTAAAAATATACTTTAAAAACCTTCTCCACATGAAATAGCTGAATTGAAAGAGTTTTTATTGCTTAATATCAAAATCTCCCATGCCAGTGAATAAATCCATTTAAATTAGATCTGGAACTTGTAAACCAAACGACCATTTTGAGGTTTAACTTGACACTGAGTCGACCTCAACAAGGCATCACAAAAGCTTATAACAGACTCTGTAGCATGAAGTATCTGGGAGTATTCCCTTTTCCCCTGGATGGGATGCCAGCCATGTCAGGATGTACCCACAGAAACATGACCACAGTACCGATTGTAACATGTACTTAAAGGGTAGAGGCTGAGTGGAGCAAACTCAGTGAAAACATGCATGCAGGCTCTATCATTCCATAAATTGTTCTCAACAACTTTAAGTAAGCAGTTTCACTATAATCCTGTTGTGCTTTGAGAGAAATAATACTATCTTCTCAGGACCGGTGATGGCTGTTTCTGTGTGTATTATTGCTTTCGCTTCGAGGAAGCTAAATTTTATACGACCAGGTAACAAAAAAAATCCTAAGACCGAAAATGCCATAACATTCAGTCCTGACATAGTATAACACTAGATTGGGAGTCTCCCTGTCTTGTTTAATATCGACCATACCTTAAATGAACTTTTAAAAACTTTGTAATTATGTTTTATCGAGTTTAAAACAAAAGACGCAGTTTCTTGAACGGCTTAAAAAATCCGGCTTGTTTTCATTATTTTGGGGGGAGAAAAACTCAGGCTATTTTTAACAGATTCAAAGACAGTACTTAAAAAAACAATGAGTTCCTTTGTATTTTCTTTATTAAATACTAGTCCACTTTTAATATTACTTTACATGCAATTTGGAGCACTACATCTGCAACAATCCTCAATTTTAAGAGATGGACTAAATAAATACTTAAAATGATAAATAAAATATTGTACGTACTAGCGTTTCTTAAATCGAATTTACATTATTTTTTTTGGCTTTCGCCTGCAAACTGGGCTCTATTTCCGCAACTTTCCCAGCAGGAGGCCTTAATATGTGGCTTGACTTTGCTGTTATTGTTTGTTTTATTCCTGCTCCGGAAAGCTCCTTCTCCGTCTACTATGGTTTTCCCCTTTGCTCAAAAGTGAACTTTCTCCAAAACTTTAATTCGTTCAGGAATGGTAGATATGGTACTTATTAATCACTTTTCCACAATTCTTAACTAATAAAAACCATTGGTATGTTATTTTCATAGATTGTTACCAATACTAGTAAATATTTTGCGCTAAAATAACAAGCTGCAAGGGGCCGTGTCACTATGATTTGGTGCTGCTGGAGATCCAACGGATATTCGCTAAGAGGGGTCTAGTCGAACAAAAACTTACCATTCTAATATAAAACAAGCCAGGGCAAATTTTCATGAAAATGTATTTGAAGAAAAACATGGACTAATACTCTGACCTTCCAAAAAAAAGTGAACGTGTTATCTGCTCATTCTAACTGTGCATAATTTTAAATGTGTAAAAAGCATTAATTGATGATGTTTTACTTACACCTAATTGCAATAACGTTGTCATAGAAAAAAGCAAGAAGAAAAAAGCAAAAAGCAAAAAGCCAAATAGGAATTAATTAGCCATGTGATTTACCTTTGCGTATTTTAATAATTTAACAATTATTTAAGAAGTCATTCACAATAACAAGACATAATTCTGTAATTCCGCGCTGTAAGATTCCGCACATGAAACACTGATGTGTGTAACAAAAGGGTCCTGACAAACGAGGCTTGGTTTGTGGTGCGGGAGAGGAACTGGCGGAGGAACGCCTCACCCTCTCCGCGATGAAAAGTCCTACCTACGCCCCTGATTTGTTGCTTGAAAATTGTGATGAGATGGTGTTGTGTACTACAAACCATACGCAGACTGGCTTTTCTATTTAGCACTAAACGAAAAGACGCGTCGCTTTCCTGGAATTTACCCCAGGCTATATTTATTGAAAAAAAATGGAGCCATTATTTCTTTAGTAGTTATCCGATGCACGTTTGTAATTAGAGCACGTTTGAAATCCGCTAGATGAATCAGCCTTGAATTGCATTAGAATGACACCAAGAAACTGATGCAAATGATTTCTCTCATATTACGTGATTAATATTCAGCTATAAGCGTGTGTGTTGTGAATGTTGCAAGCAATGAAAATTAAATGCTAATTAATTCCTATTTGGCTTTTTGCTTTTTTCTATGACAACCTTATTGCAATTAGGTGTACATCAGTCTTGAAGTGTTTCAATTAACGCCCTTTTTTTGTCTTTCAAGGGGCATTTGGTTAACCGCCTAATCTACCTTCATGATTTCAGTCACAGTCAGTAAGATGCATCATGGCTATGAAGCTTACAATAAGTCTGTCAGACTTCTTATCTTTGTTATATATTTTGGACTTGACATTGCACAAAGTTCAATAGAATTCCTATTATTTGAACTTACTGACCAATAAAAACAACGCACTAATTTATTGATCAAGACACAACTTTGGTGCAAGGTCGAGGGTGAGCTGCTTATTTGTGCTGCTATATTATTCTATTGTTAATCGATACCGGATGCAAATGAGTATAAGGTGTCCTTCTGCATTTCCACTCTTTGCTACTTGAGGCTCTCTTCATCGTCAATGTGTACTAAAAGATCTCTGTATATTATTTCTGCCATTCTTTCATATCCTGCTGGTTTCATGTGTAAATCCTCCTCCCAAAACTGGTTTCTCTCCTCGTTCTTTAAAGAATACCGCGGCAACTTTGTCGCCAAGTCACAAAGGATCGTGAATTCGTTAGTTCTAGCATAATGCCTTATCTTTTCGTTTATGTATTGTCGTTCCAGACGCGCGTGCAGGCAAGGTGGTTTGTCTGATTCCTCGCAGTCCATTTCTGGAATGGTAACCGCCACCGATTTTGCGCCAAAACGGTGCGACATGATATGGAGATTAATGATGTTGTGCACTGCTGTGTCCCAGGCCTTTTTGCTGCTGTGACCGCTGTTATGGAGAATGTCGTTTGTACCAGCAAGAATTATGACCCAAGCGTACCTGGAACTGGCTATAGATGGCATGGGAAAAAGCAAAGTTCATGGTCACTCTTATCGTCCTTAAAGCCAGGTAAAAGACTGCATACAGGTAACTGCAAATTATTTTAATATGTTGCCTCGCTTGCTGGACAATTTAAAGAACTAAAATTCCTAGCACCTGCTAATATCAGGTTAACTCTGACCCTGTCCCTTATATTCATTACATGATCTTAGATAGGTCTTAAATAGTCGTGATAGCGAATTATACTTGTGAGCCAAAACGATCGCTAAGAGAGGTTGGCTTGCCGAGTTTTCGGTAATTTTCAGTTTGCGGCTCCTGATTGGTAGGTGGATGCACTGAGTACCTTGCCCGAATATTGGTGAACATTCTATGATCATGTCATTAAAGGTTACCACAGCCACCGTAAGACAGATCCTATGAGACACGCTAAGGGTGCGTTCGATTGGGAAATCCGGATTTAGATTTTCAAAATGTAAATCCGGATTTCCCAATCGAACGTGAAATCCTAAAACGGATTTCACCTCCGAGAAATCCGTCCTCAGGGTGGATTTCAATTAAGAAATCCAAATCTGGATTTTTTGGATTTCCCTTTTTCTCGTTCGATTGGGAAATCCGGATTTAGATTTTCAAAATCTAAATCGGGATTTCCCAATCGAACGCACCCTAACATACAGACAGTCTTTATTGGTAGTAAATATCACACGGGATATAGCCTCCAACGCAAACGTTCTGAAGGTTCCATCACGTGTTCATCCGCGTGTCACGTGACCCTCGAAAAAGCCCTAGGATCGTGTACGTGGGAGGCTACACGTGAAACAGACCAATATAAATAGGCAGTTATTGCTAAAACAATGGTGTAGGTGCAGTTTGAACCTTACAGTTTTGTAAGTGATTTTGAAGTAACGCAGACATTTCAGAGGCTTCAATACGATCCCTAGCAACCGTCGTCAGGGTATAGCACCTGTGCACGTCTTTGTTCAAGAGGTACTCTAGAGTCTTGGCGTAAGGCGTGTGGTTCTTATCTTCGCTATGGAAACCACTTGTTAAACTATCTCCTAAAGCAAGAATTGGCATCGCCTTCACTCCTACAGAAGACAAGAACAGCAACGAAAAGTAAAGTGTATACTTTTTGCATATTTTTGGGGACAGGGCATTCATCAAACAAAAAGACAACATTTCACTCTCGTACCCACCAACTACACTCTTCATAGTTAACTTTATCTCCTCAGAAAAGTAGGGAAGAAGAATCACTTCATTCTCATGGCTAAATTGCAGCGTAAAATATCTGTTTTCAACTTTTACCAGCCGGAATTAACTTGAAAACGATTTCTAAAATGAATATTGCAATAAATGACTTGCTGAAAAAACATTTTGTCGATAAGTATCTAATTTACAGCCGCGAAAAAATTAAATCTAGAAACTACAATGTTAACCGAACAGAATGCATGTATTACTAACAGTGATCAACTGCCAATCGCAAATTGTTTTGTGAAATAAAATTTAACATTTGGCCATCCACGAGTCCTCGAGTTAAGAGTCGTCTCTAGAAAAATAAGTCATATTTCGCCATAAACTCGTTCTGGGGAACTTTTTCATGAACTGGGTGTTTTGACGTTCATGACTATGGCCTAACGCTACAAAAACAGATTAAACACTAGTTCCTGGATCATAGACTAGGTTTGCCTTAAACGTTACCAGCTAATTCAAGTACTTAATAGAGTAAACAATGTCTTTGTAGCAAATAAGTAACAGTACCTGTTCTGAGTTCGCAGACATATCCAGCTTTTGGTTCATCACACGTGACCATGTGCATTTCACTGTCTTTGGAAAGTGCGCTACAGTTCTTTTTACCAAGCTCATCTGTCACGTTTACATCACGTGTATATGGCATGTCATCGATCCATCTCCAAGCTCCATCCCTTTTCTTTAGACCAATGTAGAAATACTTCATTTTGTATTTTGAGGACAATATTTTGTCCTGCAGAAAACCGAGTTGTTTGTCTGTTTTTGGCATGGCTAGAAGTGCATTCTCTTCATTGCATTTTGGAGGAAACTCATCCCATTTCCTTACTGGGTGTGGTACGAACAAGTAGCAAAACTGCTCGAATTGAAGCCATCCGTTCGGACATTCCTTTTTATAGTCTACAAAAAGAGAATTTAGAAAGAGTTACCTGTCAATATTATGGGGGTTTATCTCCTAAAAGGAGCTGTGCCACGAAATTTATCAAAATTCGAACGGTGGCAACTGCCTCCAAATTGAGTGAAACATAAAAATAACCCCTCAAAAAATTAAAAGAAGGTAATAATAACTTAGTAAATATAAAGAGAGGTACGGATGGATAAACTTGAAGAAGAGTGAAACGGATTGCAATGGTGGTTTTTGAAAACTTGATAGCCTGACAGTTTTCTCAAACTTCACTTTTGTTGTTTGTAACGTTTGATATGATGCTTGGGAGACAATTTTGTTTGACTCGAAGCTGTGGTTTTGTCATTAACATGTAATTTCTCAAGTTCCAGGGTGAACGCTTAGTTGACGTTATTAACAAAATGAATTAGTCTCCCCTTGTATGGGAAAACGGATTCCGGAATCCGAGAATTTTTGCTTGCGGAATCCAGAATACAGGAAATTTTTGCTTGTGAAATCCGGAATCCCGGGCTTTGAAATACGGAATACTGTTCAGGGAATCCGGAATCCCACTAACAATTGGAATCCGGAATCCAAAATCCAAGACTATCTTGGATTCCCTTACTTGGGGCAAAACTAGAAACAGCCCTGACACAGCCCCCATAAAAGCTCAGCTCAAACACATTATGATGCAACAGTTACCTGTTTTACCCAGTTTCTCACATTTTGCTTCCGTTTCTTTGTCTGTCAAGCCGAGAATTCCTGATTAGTAAAGACAAAAAGAAAATACTCGACTAAATGTTATCGAGAAGAAACAGAGGAACTTGTAACGTCACGTGATAGTTGTTATCCAATAGGATGGTAGATTTTACATGTGCTCGTGATATTGTACAGTAGCTCGCAGTGAAGTTACGTTTACAAAGACTACTCTGTTTACAGTACAAACAAGCAACTTTACAGAACTGAAGTTTGTCAGAGTGGTTTGTCTCTGGTGGCCCCAGCTTCGCCTTCAAGCGGTCGACCTCGTTGTGTACACTTCCTTTTTTTCTAAGAAGTTGTTACTTCGTAGAACTTAATCACTATTCATTTCAAAGAATGGCCATTTGCTTGCGCGGAAAAAACTGACAAAGTATTATAGAAAGGTTAAATGATGGGTAAAAAGATTTCAGAAATAGTACATTTCCAATTTGATTTAAGGTTTGTGATGACTGACAACTGCAAAGTAAGACTTATTTCAGGCCAGGTTAGTTTAGTTGTTGCAAAATCACATAGCAACATAACTATTACCAAAGCAAAACTAGCCAGAAACATTTTCAACTTTCACAACAGAAATTAAACCCCAAAAGTGAACAATTTTCATTAGTGTCAGTTTAGGTAGAATAGCCCTTTTTCGATTGCGAAATATGAAGTATTGTAGCGTAATTTCTCTCTATCAGTCTCCTGCTTTCTGCCCTTTTAGAGGTCCCTTTTCCGCTCTTTCCTCTCCTGCCTGTCGTAACCCCGCCCCCCATTTCTCTTGGTCTCTGGCTGCACTGCCCCACCTTTTATGAAGGATTAATGATTACCTGTAAGGGTTTTCCGTGTTGACGATAATGGCCTCAGAGTCGGTTCCGGCTTATAATGATTATAGTATTTATTCAAAAACGCTTCATCTTCGCCGCTGCCTGAATAAACAGATCCTTCTCCACTGCTAACAGTCCACGATTCGAAATCGGTGTTCGATCCAGACTCCTCGTGAGAAATAGTTGTCCTTCTATAGCTGGACACTGTTGTTACCTTTGGAAACGCTTGACCAGCAGTGGGTCTAAAATAAGACAAAGGACGAATTCTTTGAGTACTGGAACTGCTCATCTCACCACTTAAGTTTATTATACTAGAGCCATCTTCATTACTTTTCTCTGCGGTGTGCGACATACTTTTATCTTTCAATGACTGGAGCGTCCCGCGAGATGTAGGTTTTAACTTTCGAACAGTTTCATCGATAGGTGGAGTGCCAACTCTTGTATCAGATTTTGAACCATTTCTATTCGATTTCCAACCCTCTCCTGAGTACACAGGTTCTTGGAATCCGGGTCCAGGAAATCTATCGAACCCTTTATTAAATGATCCGGAGTGATTTTCAGTTGCTGTTTCTTTAAACCTGTGCACATGAGGAGGTGCTCCGACTTTTTTTGATGTTTGATTATGGACGTGCTCCTGATATCCTGATACGTGGAGGTTTCTGAACTGATTTTTAAATTTCAGTGAAGTTTGCAACTTTTTCCATCGCATAGTAGGTCGCAAATGTCCATGTTCTTTGTATTTTCCAAGCACAAATTCCGAGCCAGAGGAATGATTTATTGGCATTGGATTAGCTAAGAACAAATCATGTAAATACGTTGAACGATTTGGGGCACCCAATATGAACATGTCATTAGCATGATATTGCGGTTCAGATTTCTTTGTGGTGTTTTGTCTTTCTTTTTGCATGTCATTGGCATTTTCCCGTTCATTTAAATATTCTCCAACTTTATTCTCTTTAATCTCTTTCTCAGTCGTTAATTCATGAGACCGGAAGTCACTATTTAACGCTTTTAAATCTACCGGATTGACACGATGACGACGAGCGTCCAGATATTTAAGATCGGCCAAAATGCCCGCGAGCTGTGGTTTGATAAGTGAGCTTATGAATTTGTAGCGATAGCTTTGTTTTGAACCAAATGCACTGCTCGTTGATGGAAAGTTTTGGAAAACTCCATTACTAACTTTCTCTCTTTGATAATTTAGAGATTTAATTGATGCAATAGCTTGAGATTCGTTGGATCTTTGGGCAATAGAAGCTGCGTTTACAATATTCTGACCTTCCTCTGAATTTTCATCGTATGTTTCAGAACTTGAAGGTCCTTGAACTTCATATAATCTCTGCGACTGGTTCTCAACCGACTTCACTTCACCGTTCCTAAAACCCTTTCTCGACCAATCAAGAAAATGTGAAGGTATTTGCCGATTTTGTGTCGTCAGGAATTCACTTCCCGCTTTCTGAAAATGCATCTCAGTGTTTGACTCCTCATGGTGTAATTCATTTAACGAAAGTGCAGACTGAAGCCATTCTTTGCTTCTTTGGAAATTTCCTTCTGATAGGGACGGTTCCTCAATATTTTGACGATGGACAAAGTAACCGTCCAATACCTGAATCCGTCTTCTGTAGGCATCAGTATGCTGGTTTCTTTCAATTAGAGCCTTCTTAGATACCTGATTTTTATGCGTCTTTTTTAACTTGGTTCTCTTCCGTCGTGGATGCACATGAGTTCTGCTTGACTTCTTTTTAACATTCATGATGATATTCTGTTTTATTTGTCCAGCTTTTGTCCAACCTTTCTTAATCAAGTGATGTGATGCTTGAGAAGGGAAATGTTTACTTGCAGATACCTTGGCATCAGACAAAGACACTCGGTTTGGAGCGACGGCGGTTGTAATTGTGCCTTTACCAGATCCTGGTAAATATAATAAATGAAAGTTATTTTCAATAAAATTTTCTTTGACAGATGGTTCTTAACACTGTCATTTTTCAAGTATTTATTGCGAATCCTTTTCACGGCTTTGCTCAAGTAAGCGACCGTGTGGAAGTTAAGTTTACGGGGAATTTAAGGTAGGCTTTTGCGTTTAAATATTGCTTTTAAAATTACCAACCCCTCCCTCTCTCTAAAACATTAGTTATAACGGCTGGTCCCCTGCTGTCATTGAGTGTGCAAAGAGTAACCTGCATTTGTAATATATGGTTCCAGAACCAAAGTAGCTTGATATGTGATAAAGATAGCAGCAAGCAAAAGCTGAGAAAAGAACGGCAGGCTAAATTTTCTTTAACTGCGTTCCAGGCCAGACAAGCTCAGTGTTGCGTTTCTTTCAACCTGTTAATCCATGAATTCTATTAAATTCACCTTTAACGAGAGAAGAGGGTGAAGATATCAATCAATGAGCGATATCCTGACTTTTTACTCAGAAGATAAGTTATAATTGCGGTTGCACCGTCTTCCTCAGTAATAAAGCTCCAAAGGTGTTTTTCTACCCCAGGAATTCACTGAGTTTTGTTTTTGTCTTCTCCTACTAAATTAAATTTGTCAAAGTACTTGGAAAACAAATAAATGAATATTAGACTTTTCTAAGCTTATTTTCCAAGGAATGGATAGCTTTATCGACGTTTTGATTAAACAAAAGAGCTTAAAACATTTGCTATCGACTCTATCAAGCAAATCTAGCAGGCTAAAACAAAATAATACAAACCTATGAAAATGCTTAGAAAAAGGCAAGCGATAAGACTTCTCCTAAACAACCAAACGTCATGGGCCATACTTCTAAACAGAGTGTTGTTGACTTCAAAACCAGTCAATAACTCCACGGTTGGAACAGTTAACTGAAACAGTGCTCAGTTACTCAATTAATTAGAGTAGAAATCCTTCATCAAAGAAAGCCTCAATCGCTTTCATAACAATCCATTATTGACTTGGTCCATTTGAGATATTTGGATTCACAGGTCGGGATCTGTAATCTTTTATACGAATGATTTTCCTAAGCTCAAACGCGGAAGACTCAAGTCTATTTTCTAGGTAAGTTCCGAACATCTGATGGATTTAGTGGTATGTATTCTCTTCCGAAATTGTTATGTTCATTTTGGTGTGAAAATGGAACACCTGTCTCCTTTGCAAAAATCACAGGTAGAAAATTCACCACAAGACTTGGTTGTCACATGCTTCATTAGGCATGACCGTACATAACAGCCTTGCATTCCGTTAATTGTACTGGGCTGCCCCAAGCCTCTGTTTCAAAGCGAGGCTAAGTGTGAGCCCATTGATAACAAAATGATACTCATTCAAATATTAATTTTCACTAAAAGATTTGCACTGATGATGTTAGTCTATATCAACAGAGTAGTCGGTGTAAGTGATCCCAAAATGATGGACACGGGTGGATATATAGAGTCCTCAGGTTCCCAGGCGACATGGTATATATGACTCTCATCAAATCCACTATTTCTGGTTGCTGCAGGTTACGGCTAACCTGAACCTGCTCTTTGAGATTTTTATCTAGTTCAAAATTTTCCTTCCAGTCTGAGGCTCTTATCCGGGTTTTATCCTGGTAGCCATCTTGAATGCTCCCTGACGGCCGGGGGCGCCTATTGGATATCAGTCATTAGTCGCGATGTATTGTGGTCTATGGCGTTACTGGGCCACAACGTTTGGATTTTTTTATTATTGTTGTTTTATTTGCAAATTGAAAAAAGACTGTCTCAGATAAATTGTTAAAATACAAAAGAAAAAAGGGTGATATGAACAAAAAAGAAAAAATGTAACCAAACTTAAAACGTAAGAGAAATGAAATGAAAAAGAAGTCCAGTATTGTAAATGAAAAAAGTTAACTGAAACAACGTGAAATAAACATAACGTTAATTGAACAAAAGAATACAATTAAAAAGAAAAGAGAAAAAAGAGCAGAAAGTATCAAAATTTTACCAAAAAAGGTACAAAATTGCTATGGTGTTAGCGGGCCACCATAGATTAGCAAAGACCAAATTATGCAAATATGTCAAACGATTTGAGCCACCCGATAGTACACTTATTTCCTTGGTAGACTCTTTAAAGCTATTTTAGCTGGCAATGTGATCTCGAAATTATCTAAAATTTTGTGTTTATGGCTTTCAGTCAAATCTCACTGACGTCAGTTACCGGGAAAAAACCTCAAAAAGTTGACACTAATTCTTGAAACCATCGTTTTGGGCTATCTTGTAACAGTATGTAAGAGACCTACTGTCATTGAGAGATGACCTGAAAATAAATATACACGTAGCCCTTTTACAACCTTGCCATCCAGCAAGGTTTTGTTGAGCCATATAACCGTTTCTTTAAGCAAAGGGCCCATAACCTCTCTTGTACGCTTATGTTAACTTGCCCTTTTTGCCTCAATCACATCTGCAGAATTCCGAAAAACAAGGCATTGAGGGCAAGTTATCAGTAAGACAAAAGAATAACTAAACCTGTCACCATTTCGGGAAAAGTTGTATTTGAGGGGTTAACTCGTGCCTATCATCTTTCTTGGTGCAGATATATCGCCAACTCCTGATCTATCAAAGGAATCCATACATTACCTGTTGCTCCTGTTACCTTGCCTTCCAGCAAGGTTGTTTTAATACTCAAAGCAGCGAAAGTTGTCGGCCAAACAGCACCGTTTATCAGACAAAACATTTATTAAATGCAGTATCAAAATTTACATATTTACATTTCATTTACTTCTTGTCGCCTTCTCCAAATGGTAGATTTCTCTACCTCAAAAAAATACCCTTATTAATAATAACACCACTATCAATGAAGAATGCGCCAACGCACTTGTGTGATTTCTTGAGTAGCTGCACGGCTATTATGCATTTGGCAAAAAAAATATCATTCTTTTAAGTTACGAATGTTTAGCCACCTTATGACTAAAGGAATATGAAAGTATTATTATTAGTAGTAGTATCATTATAATATCATTATTAATTTTATAGAAGCTTACTCAGGTTGAGACTTCTTATTTGGTAAGATCAGATCATTAGCTACTTAATGTTGGTGTTAGTCTTTCGCCTAGGAAGGTCAAGACTTATCACGGTTTATTTAGGCAGCTTCCTTTTAAAATTTTCACTCTTAAAGTAAAGTTAGCCTATGTTTAACAATGCTTTTTCAAAGCAATTGTGCTGGCACGTTGCAGGAAATACGAATGTTGGGGGAACAGAATTCTCTGGAAACCCGTATTAACAACGCCTGCGTTCACCCACAAGTTCATACTATTTGTGGAAAAAGTAACGTTCGTTTGTTACGAATGAACAATAGTCTGAATCAAGCAAACATTTCGTTAAAAATATAAGCGCTTAGTTTGCTTTTCTCTTCCTTCTTGTGAATTCCTCATGAACATTCTTGTGGTGTTTTGAATGATGCAGACTCCGTCGCCACCTTTTCGCTTCCGGTTTCTTTTGAAGATCATGTATCTCGTGCTCAGCTTTAAGGAATTTCAAAATGTCCTCTTGAATTTTAAATATTTTGTCCATCTTTTGAAGTAATTTAGCCATGATGAATGTGTTGGCAGATTGCTCTGGTTTTTCAGAAATATCAGTCTTCTTTTCCACTGCAAATTTGTTTCCAGAATCAAGCCTCTTGTTGGAGACGAGTGTTTTAAAAAATCTTAATTTGCGTAATTTGCCTTCGCTTGTTACGTCATCAACTGCAGATTTGCCTAGATTTCCATCTTGAGAATGCTCTGAAAAGTTTTTGTTTTCAGAATTCCATCTTGAATTTTCTTCTTCCTGCTTTTTTAATCTTAATCTACCAATATGGTTTCGTAAAAAGTGACTTGTGTCAATGTGATTCCTCGATCCCTTGAGCCAAATATTTATCTCGTTCCTTCTCCGTCGTCTGATGTCCTTTTCAAGATCTTCTAGATCGCGCTTTCGAATTTCCTCATTTTCAGTTCCATCATCCCTAATTCTCAGCTTTTTCATCTTATTCTTTGCTCGTTGCATAGCTGAATACTTTGCTGCCTCGATGATGGTCAAGATTTTCTCAATTTTCTTAATCTTGTCAACCTCAAGTTTTGCACCATTTTCTTTCTGGATGTCGTCTCTTAGCTTCGCTTCGTCCTCTGCAATCTTTTTCTTTGCCTCCTCGGGCTCAGTGGCGTTATCACTTTGAAGAAGTCCCTTCTCTTTGTTGATATCAGCCTTTTCTTTGCTCATGTCGTCCTCGTACTGAGCCTCTTCCTGTTTAGCCTGTGACTCGACGTCATCAATAATGTGCCGCACTGAACTAGGCGACAGACCAATAGCTTCTTCAATCTTAGACATGGCCAAGCTAGCGCGTTCTGTGTCATGAAGTTTTCTGTATGCCTCTGCTAACAGTGGATTAACTAAAACAAAACAAAAAAACTGATTTTAATTTCCAGCTTGCTCGACGGCGAACAACAAATATGGAGCACTTCAAAGCTAGATACAGAATCCCGTGTCCTTTATTCCTCTTCTCTCTCTGTCTCTCTCTCTCTCTCTCTCTTCTTTTCTTTGCTACTTCAGGGATATAAGTAATAAAGTGGCCTATAACTGGGGCCACTAACCAATGTGTTTTGGGAACGGAGCTTAAAATGCTCTATCAAGGAACTGGGTTGATGACAAGCTTAAAGGAACCCTTGTGTAGATGTTTAAGAACATACTAATAAGTATCCCTCCACCCAACGAGGGTGCTACTTCTACTCAAGAGCGGCAACCACGGATAAGAATAGAAATTTTCAAGAATCAATATGATCTTTAACAAACAAAAAATTGTTAGCCGTGTTCTGCACCTGGAGCTTGATATGGAGCTGATGCTGGGAAATAAGACGGCGTATTCCAGTTGTCCTGTGGGTTGCTTGACGGGAAAGCCTGAGTATTCCATGGGTAAAATGGCGCGGTGGGATAAGCTCCTGGCAGCTCCTGCTGACCAGCGTAAGCAACTGGACGAGAGGGTTCAAAGCTTGAAGAACTGGGAGCTAACGGAGTCTGTAGACGACCCTAAGAAAAATAAGTATAAAGCCTTTATTGATCCATTCCAAACAGTGGAATATTGCTTTCATTTGCTTTGAGTGTGTAATCAAACAACTCAGAAATTAACAATTGTTACACTTTAATGAAGGAAGAAAATGGTGGAGAAAATTAGTTACTTTAAACGGGCACATGACTGAATTAAATAAATTCTTAATTGGTATACACAAAGCTCGGTGGAAGAGTCTGAGCAAAAAAAAGATACACTTCCTTTTCAAGATGAGGGCAGCATACACCAACATGGTACTTGGAGGTGAATGCTTATCCACTTATTTTGCGTACTTTTATATTTTGCATCTACTTTTTAAAGATTGTCAAGAATTTCGTAACAAACGTATCATACATAAAGTAATTAACAGGGGGGGGTTTCGTACTTTTTCGTGCAAAACTGAATATTCTGCAGTTTGCCATTGAGACTATAGTGGAGGATGCAAGTTTTTCTGGTGATATTCCTCTAAGTTGGCGCAAATCCAAGCTAATTCCAGTTCAGTGCCAAGAACTACGTCTAGAAATCCAGTGGTTTCAGTGTACCTAACAGAATATTTACCTCCAATTTGGGGAAAATCATAACTATAACAAAATTCTCAAATCTGATTGGTTATCAACTCTCCTGATTTCAGCACTAATAGGACGGTGTAATAGGACAGTACGCGCCAACGCACGCGCGCACTCAAATGGCTCTTTTCACTGCTAGCAAAAAGACTCTCGGAATTTCTTGTGTTTTAAGTTTTAAAAAGCCTAAAATATCACATATTTTGATATAGTTGTTAATATTTGGTAACAGAACTTCGTGTCGTCCAATTCGGTCTGAAATCATACTCGTGATTACATAAATCGGCCTCCCGCTACGTGGTCGTCCGATTTTGTTAATCACTTATATGATTAGAGACCGCCCGCTGTGGCTTTCAGCACCACCCATACACTCCAGACAGCCTCAATGAGGGAAAGGATTGTACTTAGAGCAAGAATACATCTACTGCAATAAGTGTCATAGTTTATAAATGCCACCTTCGATTATTCACGAGAACCTGGAAGTGTGTGTCGTTAACTATCTTCTGTTTCCTTTCCTTCAAGCAAATTGTCTGTGAACAACGGATTGAAGGTGTGTTTAGTCTTATATACTTACATTGTAAGGAGCAGAAATAGGCGCCACCTCGGGTTTTGCATCTGACGGTCCCAGCTTGTCGTCCAGTTTCTTGGGCGTCGTTGGAGAAGCAGCAGCCTGGGGTGGTGTTTGCGGAAACGGTTGATAAAATGACGGAGGTGCAAACAGACCTGGTGAATTAGAGTAGGAATAGAAATATCTTGACATTGGACCTGTGTTTGGTGCTGAAATACTCGGGTTGTATGATGCAGTCAATGGCGCTGACTGTGACATGAGACCGTTTGATTGCCCAAAAAGTGATGCGACCGTATGCGTCGGAGGTGCGACCGGCTGAACTGGTGCGACAGGTCGAACAGGCAAAGCTGGTTTAGCAGGTTCAGGAGCTTGACTTACTGACGAGGGTACCATTTCCGATGCTACTCCTTCGTTTGTCTTTTGTGGTTTAGTATGCGGTTGTGGCACTTTGACGTCGTTACTAGATGGAGCATGCACACTATACTGTGTACTGGGTGTGTTTGGGGGTTGGATTGCTAGAGGCCCATTAGGGGCCGACGGACTTGGCAGGTCATTAACCTCCAAATTTTTGTTGTTGGCATTTCCTTCTTCGGAGGAGTAGCTAGCGACCTTAGTTGACACTGGTGCTACTGATCCAAATGTCTGTTGAGAACTGGTTTGTGCTGGAAGCACTGAAGCAGTCGCTTCTGTTTGTTGAACTGGAGAAGAAATATATTAAATTTTGAAGGATAAGACAAATAATACACAGTATTTTTTGTGTTTTAAGAAGTGACACCAAACAAGGACACAAACACAGGTACCGCTCAGAAAAGAAAAGATGGATAAGTTGACACCTTAGAGATTTAGAATCACGTCTTAAGTTTCTTACAACAGATGCGCTGCGCTTCTTATTTTCAAGATAACAGATTAATGCAAGCATTCTCGAGCGCCTTTCCCAGTGAAAAGATTCGCACTTTCTTCAAATCTTTGGGCCTGTTTTTTCGTTCACCTTGGCTTTAGTTTGGAATGATTCAGGAAAAAATTCTTGAAATTTGTCTTTTTCATTACATGGCATTTCTAATTAATCCGATAAAACTACACAGCAGTGTGGTAAATGATATAATTTTAATGTATAGAAACATACTTGAATTGACTTTCTGTATCTCCGCATTATCTGCATATGTAGGCTGATAAACAGGCGCCGTTTTAGATGGAACAGTTAAGCCAGCAGGCGACAACAGGCTGTTAGGTGCAGAAGCCATATTGGGGCTCGTCCCTTGAAACATTTGTGGTTGATAACTTGCCGTGTATGACTGCATTGCTGGTTGATAAACAGGCTGTTGAATTCCTCCTAAGTAACCTGCAACTTGAGGTGGGTAGGATAGGGGTTGTCCGAGGACTGCTTGAGGCATAGAAGCCATTTTACGTTTTTCCGCTTTTTCGAGATCTTCTTGAGCGCGCTCCTTTGCTAAATACTTAGCCGCTTCAAGCTTGACAATCAGTTTCAAAATATTTTCTGCCTTTTTCACATCTTCGTCGGCGTCTTTTTCAAACTTATTGAATTTCGCCCTCTTAGCTGGGTCTTGTGCTTCATCGGCCAATTTCTTGAAATTTTTCTCTTCGCTCTGTAGTTCGGTTTCTAGTTTTGCCGTTTTGTTCTCGATTGTTGAGGGCTCTAATCCAAGTTCCTTTTCTATGCCACTCAGTGCCTGTGCAGCTTTAACCGCACGTTGGAGCTTTTCACGGGCAATTTCAACTGGGTCGTCTACAAACAGTGAATTAAAAAACAGCAAAAGAGATTTAAAATGGTGAAAGACTACATCCGCTTTCTCACTTAAACAGGTTTATTTAGTAAAAAACTTAGCAAATTTAGGGACGAGTCGGCTTATAAATAAAATGCGCTGTATTTTGCAACAACTATAGAGCGTTTTCACATGTCAAGGGAGCCATATTGGTGTTCCAAAATATTGAAACGGCGGCTCATCTTGGTGTACCAAACAAATCGCCTGGGGGGTTGAACTCTTTTCTTATGTAAAAGTTTTTTTTGGTTCAATAAATTGGCATAGATGCTGCCCACGGGAGTGAAAACGCTCTATGTGACTAATGGGATGACTCGCTCGTCAAGGAACTTAATATGTTTCTAGCTTTCTTCATCATTCATTTATTTAAAGAGCGAGTACGGAAAATGTTCAACAGATTTCATTGTGATACCTTGAAGAGGGAGCTGCCGCTTTTTGCGTGCGTCGCTTTTAAAATTCGATGTAGAGGGGATCTTTTGTGCATGCTTGTTGTCTGAAAGAAATTAAAGATAGCAAGAAGTTGCTTTAGTGACCACTCTTATACTATGGCAAAGGTTTGAAAGAGATATCTTATGAAACTTACTGAAACCATAGTTTTTAAAGCTGACTCCCAAACTAGCCAGGTAAGACTAAATAAAACATATGTAGGAAAATGTTTTGTAGCAAAATGATTTAGTTCAAAACAAAGCTGTAGCTCCCTCCTCGAGGCTATGCTCACAGCATACTTGGGAAAGAATTTCGAAGCGCGCAACACACTTCGACCCTTTGACCTGTCACATTTTGACCATTTGACCTTCGCCATGGCTTTTTGCGCAAACCAAAAAAAGTTTTTCAAGTTCCCTTGTGCGTAAAGGGCTTAGGCACAAGGCATAGAGGATATGTAGCTCGGTCAAACCTCACAGTGGGAGACCTTTACCTAGCAAGCACTTGCTGCAGAAGCCTTCTTTGTTGTTTGATCATCACTATAGGCATTTGTTGACATTTGGTCTTAAACTTTGATGACGCCAGGCAAGTTTAAGTTTCTTCTTCACTTAAAACCACAAAATCCATCGCATCATCTCCCTAAAGATGAAGCCTTGAAAATTACCAAAACTGTGTAATCTACTTGCTTCAAAACTAGATTCATGGGTTGCATTCATCTGAATCCATGTGTGGGCAAAGGAGCTCTCCCATCTCCGTTTTAAACAACAAACAAACGCTCCCACCTGCATAAGTTACGCCGTTCTTCTTGTCTTTATGTTCTGCTTCCAAAGAAGCTTGTTCCTTTTCATCATCCTCATCTTCGTCATCTGGATCTTCCTCAGGAAATTCTTCCACGGTTGGGACACCATATTCCTCTAACATAGGGTAAGTGATAAAATTTTCTCCCAAAAGCGGGCTGTACTGCTCGAGGGTTGGCTCATCTTCGTAAAACTCTGCAAGATTTTCATTGTTGAAACAAAAATCGGCTCAAAGTGTCAATGGGAATAATTATAATGCATGTCCAGTGTCCCCTCCCCAAAACCCCCCTCCCCTTCCCCCCCCCCCCCCCCCCCCCCCCCCCCCTAGGGCTGGCTGTACTGGTGGGGGGTTGGCTTCTTTGTAAAAAACTCGACAAATTTTTTTTTTCAAAAAAAAAAACCGGTCAAAAGTGCAAAGGGAAAAATTTTAAGCCCTGTCCCCGGCCCCCCCCCCCAACCCCCCCCCCCCCCCCCCCCCCCCCCCCACCGTTTGTCTCTTATAATATGAAGGAAGCGCGTGGAAGATGCGCGGGGGGAGATGGAAAAGGGGGAAAAGGGGAGATCCTCTCTCCATCTCATCGGCCCGTTGGCCGGGACGCCATAATAGTCTCCTGAGACAGTTCACTTACAAAATGACAAAGGAGACGACTTGGGTCGAGTGACTGACTGTCCGACTGAAAGACTGACTGACTGGCTGGTTGGCTGAATGACAGACTAATTGAATAACTGACTGACTTACCGACTGACTGAGTGACTGAATAACTGGCTGGCTGCTTGGTTGGCTGGCGGGCTGGCTGACTATTTGACTGGCTGACTGACCAACTTGATGATTGTGACGGACTGTCTGACTGACCTGCTAGCGGACGGGTTGGCTGACTGACTGATTGACTGAATGACTGAGTGAATGGCTGACCGGCTGACCAGCTGAGTTACTGACTTACTGATTGACTGACTGGCTTAATGACTGACTTATCATAAGTAAAGATTAACAAAATATGCCTTGTTTGAGTGTCGTTAGTTGCTCTTACATGCCGTTCTCAAAAGCGAAATTGCCTCTAAGACCTACCTTGGGCAGAGGCACCTTCCAGTAGTAACAAAGCTGAGACAAGAAACAGAAGCTTCACCGAAACGGAGGCCATATGATATCTGCAAGTATAAAAACAACGTTTATCAAGGACGGATATACATACCGATTGATCCACAGTTTAAAATAGTCCAGTCGAGCCTATGACTTTCCTCACTACTCCAATATTGGATTTTTGACCGATGACAATGCAATTCCTCCTTCGTCAGGCGGTGAGCCTCTGTATGAGTTCCTGGGGACGTCGATTTCGTCGCGCAATTGCCATCAAATTGTCGGTTTTGGGCGACATCGTCGCATATTAAGAATTACTTTGCGTTGTAACGCTACTGGCTATCTCAACAACAACGACAACGGAAAAGAGAAAATAGGCAAACAAAAACTCTGAATATGCAGCACACTTTTGACAGGTTTCTTAGCCGCCATTGCACGGTTAACGTTGTCAAACTTCATTGAAGTAGCAATGCCATCGTCACTTTTTAAGATCTCTTAGATCGTCGCTTCATCAATGGCAACCGTCGCGACTTCGACCATTTCGTCGGAAATACCCATACAGAGGCTAAAGCGATCACTCTTGAAAACCAGACAAGTGGGCAGACCATCCGTGTACATGATCAGCCTTTTCATCGAGTCTTGTAGAAGCTAACCGTAAACCTGATTCAGTTCACTGGATCGTGCTATTGGCTTGGTATTTGTCCAAGCGTGCAATTCTGTGGTTAAGTCATACTCGTACATCTCCATGCACCGTTATGCTACATCGAACGCTACTAGATTATGTTAAATTAATTGGTAGTCGAATTATGGTCCTCATAAGGACTTGAAAAATTAGACTGTCATCATGAAATGACTCATTTTTCAGAAATCAAAAGTGGCCATCTCGGACTGAGATGATCATTAACGAGCCTCAAATTAATTCATCAGGAATTTCATTTTGCTTAATATTCTATACCCTTCTTCTCCTGTTGTAAGGGCTATATCGCACGTTATATTAAAGGCCTTACATAGTTATACTCATAAATATGTTCCTGGTGGACCGGCAAGTGTGGTCATGGATATTCCAAACCCACTGAATCATAGGGGATTATAGTAATCGTTTCCGGCGCGGGAAGGATGTTCTCTTGCTTCCGTCTTGTTTTAGAACATTGATTGATAGAGCGACAAGCTCTTTAATTCTGCCGAGGTTGAACTGCAAGACGTTTTCAGTATTGAAAACACTGGCAGTAAAGAACCGTAAATGACTCCCTTAAATCAAACTTGCACTTATACATGCATTCCTCGAAACCTACCAGAGATCATGGACTTAGTTTTTGTGTCGTCGTTCTTAGTATCCCAACGGCAAATATCCGAAATTGGTTCTTGAACACAATATTGGCATTAAAAGGCTCCTTATAACTCTAATCCAAACGTAACTTCTTCTTTCTGGTGGCTTCCTTTTGAAGTCGTTTAACCCCCAGATCGCGAGGAAAATTTCATCATGAAGAAAGATATACTTCCTTACACAACATATATAGATGTAAAAAGGGAGGAGGACAAATCCTTCTCATGTAAGTGCTTATCAAACGCTTCAAGAATTTTCAATTTGCTAAAATCAAGACAGCCTGTTAAACGTTGTTATATTTATTTTTCTGTGAGTGGTTTTTATGAGGTGTTTCAGTTATCACACTTTCGTTCGTATGGCCAAGAATATGATTTGCAAAAACAGTGCATTGAGGTGTTTAAAAAAGTGCGAAATATTATGCTTGGCCGAACGTTCGATTTATGTTTACACGGCAAAGAAGCACGACTACCAGGTTGATGTAAGTTTCCTAAAAAGAAATTAAGTTTCTGTCATAACCCACTGGTTCTTAATTGTCAGTAAAAGTTAATTTTAGCTCAGGTAGACGCAGAGGACATTCAAACTCGATTTAACATATCATCTTTGTTTTTCTGGTCTACGAACAAAGTGAATCAAAATTGAACCTGACAGTGTATGCTTGGGTAGCATTGTTTTTCCGGACCACCTTTATACTAAGGGTTATTGAACGGAAATACAAACCTACCTGTAAAGATTCATACGTTTGACATATTACAACACCAAACAGTGACAAAAATATCCGCGTTTGAAAATAACTGCAGCCCAAGAAAGAAAAAATTCCACTTGTTGGCAAGTGAATATCCCGCAGTGGAAAACTACGACATTTCTAGATTTTTAAGCAGCGGAAGTTTCCCTAGCGAGCCGCCATTGTCATTTCCACCTTTGGTGTAAAAATATTAACTCAGATTGGTATATAGGTTGAGATCATCCTTCAAACTGACCAATCACAAGACGAGGTTTTAACAAGCGTTGATGAGTTTTATCATTTCAAATCAGTTAAGCCAGTGAGTCAAAACCGACTCAAGTGTACCTGTTGTTTAAGTTGAAAGTCATCAATAAAATGAATGTTTTCAGTGGGTATTTGCGCGTATAATTATGTTAACCAAGTTAAATGGTTTCGCACAGTTTGGTTACCGTCCAACGTTATGAGAGTGAATAAATTATAATTCTCTCGCCACGAGATGTTTTTGTCTCATTTATCACTTTCTTTTCATTAATTTTGTTCACTCTTTTATAAAATTATCGGTTATGTACGCTCGCCTTCAAAAACATAAACAGGTAGCACAATTGTAGGCAATTTCTGTTGACCTTAGAAGTAATGAGAAGTTAAGAAAAACACCACATGTGTAGCGATCAGCTCTGGCATTTAGACTGTGCTAAAATATTTCAAGTTGCACGGGATTGTTGAATGGAAAGATCTTACAATTCTAATTATCCATGCTGTACGAGTAAGATCGCCGATCCTTTTAAGTGTGCCTCATGTATGTGAAACCCGTCACCTGTGGTTTTACTAAGTTGATAGCGACCACTTATTTGCAGTATGAGGCATAGTTCTCATTTTCGGTGTGTACTTTGGCTGCCTGTGGTTTTTACTTGGCGGATATTGAGCAGTTACAGTCGACTTTCTGTTAACGGACATCTCTATAAGACGGACACCTCCGTAAAACGGACACTTAGAGTTGGTCCCTGCCTTTCTTTGCTCCCTTTATTTGACTCTCTGTAAAACGGACACGTGGTGCCGGTCCCAAAGGTGTCCGTCTTAGAGAGAGTTGACTGTATTTACAGTATGAGGCAATATAGTTATCATTTTCGGTATTTCATGTCAACAGAATAACGCACAATTTGCTTCTAAGCTACTATTTGTTTTGTTTCGAGGCAAAACTTTGACCTTCTCCTGATCCTTTCATATGTACACCCATGACTCCTGGGACGCTCCAATAGGTTCAGGATGGTCACAAAGGTTTACCTTTTCTCTTACGTGCTTTTTAAAAAAACCTTCACTCCCTTGGGAGATGGTTAGTTAATCAGACCTCAAGTGTCAACCCACGACGTAATTGTAGAAAGTAAACTCAGTACTGCTTTTTAATGTTGTGAGAGCTGCCGGCAATTTTCCTAAACAGTTTAAAAAATAAGTCAAGATGCTTGAAAAATTTTGCCATGGCATTAATTTCAAGTGAAACCGTTTTTTGTAGGTATACAGTCTTACTTAAGAAAAATATTTCCTTAACAGTGAATGCTTCAAAGTAAACATAACAACAGGTGTTACATTATAGTGTTGCAGCACGTTGAAAAAGTAACTTGTAATTGTTTCTAACAGTTAATGAGATATTTAGCCTCCTACCTGCTGCACATAATCCGACTTCCTCGTTTTTAAATAATGCCTTAATGTGTTTCTGCATGTAAACTTTGACGGTAATTAGGTCAATCAAACAAGGCTGCTAGGTTTGGAACCGGTGAAATGTTGTCATGTGGCCACGCCCTAAATTAACGCCTTGTAATAGACTCATATTAAATTGTCGCCATTAAAGTAAAAATGAACAGTCAATTTTCAACGTCTCTACTTAAAAGGTGAAAAAACGGAGATTTCTAATCTCAAGTATTACTTCGCTCGAGGGTCACTTCGATCTTACGGATAAAATATTTAACAGTGGCTAAGCTTTTCTTGAACAGTACTTTCTTTCTTTCATACGTCAGGCTTCTGTCGTACCGAAGTTAATCCTTGAATGAAGGTCGACTCACAAAAGCACGCCAGAAGCACGACACGAACTACTAATTAATATTGGAAGAAGAGATAACTTAACAGATCCTCACTGTCTAATAGTGATTTAGGCTGAATACTATTATTAAAAACTGAATCATTGGATAATGCAATTCTAGAGCTCTGATTGGCTTTAGCCATCATGGTATATGAGCCATTGTACCATGCTCTCCAAACGTGGTGACTGTACGCGTCGATCAAATTTAAAAATAAGCAGAAAATCGGTTGTTTTTACAAATAAAGTCGGGAGGAATTCTCGATATTTTGTGGGCGTTGTTAACAAAACAGTTATTTCACAAGCGCATGTTGGATATGAGATGATTATAGCCAGCTCATATATCCAACGTGCTCTCGTGGGGTAATTGTTAAGATTGGGGAGTGGCCGGAAATGGAGAGTACAGAGAACAAAAACGGAAAATTCGGGGGGGAGCTCCCTCGTCCTTTCTCATTTCCCTTTGCGCCGCCAACCACTATTTGAGTGCCTGAACGGGTTAATGTGCTAACTTCACATTTATCTCTTATCTAGATCTCACTCTGTCTTATGCGGGCCGTGGGAGATCTGGGTAGGAGGTAAGTATGCTGCATGCACACTGCTGGGAAAAGACCAAGGATCGTCGATGTCCAACGCATTCTTTGTGGTGATAAATGACGCAAACTATTAAATGTTGAACTTGGTAAGTAAATGAGAAAGATGTATTCAACAAGCTTAGACGAAAAATAACGCCTAAATAATCTTTTTTTAAAAAAATACTCAGTTTTTATTTATTCACTTTTCATTCCATCTCTTTTTTTTTCTTTACGTTTCCTGAAGGTACATGTGTCCAGGTACTTTTTTAAGTTCACAATAACGAAAATTTTATTTATTTATCTTTCCGTCTTCTGAAAAAACGTTGTGCTCTACATGCATTTACTTGTGGTCCTTTGTGGCAGTCGACGTTTTTATATTATATCAAGAACCGTAATATTATGATCTCTTGATTTTATTAAGTAAATTTTATTAAAGTTTTATCCTTGTTTCGAGGTATTTCTATCTTCAGTTATTGCATCAAGGTTGAATCCTTTTCTCTTTCTCTTTCGGCACTGGTTTGAATTAGGTGATTGTTTCTTTCTTTAAATTATTATTCCTCAATTTCACTATTCCATCTCGTTTATACGGTATAACAGGTTTGATTGAGTCTTCATTGATTGTGTTCAGTGGTATTTTAGGTCCCTTGGGTTGCGTGGCCATTTGAGATTTAGGTTTTCCTCCTGGAATCAGACCTGAAATGGCCTTTATTGCATTTTCCCCAGCCTTCATGAAAAACTCCAGGATGTCTCTTTCTTTCCTTTGATGTGCTGTTGCTAAAAAGGAAAGGAGTTGTTTAAATTCACTCTTTATCTAACCTTGTTTCAGGTTTTTCCTTCGGGCGTCTTGAATTACGTACGGATAACAGTTCATCTAAAACTATTATGTTTAATATACTTTACTGCGATGTTACTTTGCTGTCCAAGGATTGCCTATTATTAACACTGCTTGAAATGATCAGTATACAGTCGCTTAGCAACCGTACGTACAAGTCTTACCTATTGGCCACTTAAGAAACAAGAGGAAATCTGGGTCGAGTTAACTTTCTCAAAGACTTCCGGGACTGTTACTAAGGACAGTAGCTGACCATCGAGTCCCCAGAAGCGATCCCAGAAACAATTGCGGGATGCCTTTCGTCTCCAGTTCCCTTCTCGTTTCTAAACTGGCGAATGTCATATCCAACATCATACACCACAGAGAGTAGTTCTGTGGTGCTTTCGAGTGGTATACCTCGGAATGCCCCTAAGTGACTCGATTTTTCTCAACATATTTACTCTCGTACTCCAAGTCCAATCTAAAAGCTAGGTCCCTAATATCTTCTCAGATGCTGCAGATGCGATTAAGGGCGAAGACGGAGAAAATATATTCAGCAGTCTTTCAACTTTTTAACTATATTACTTTTCGTTTATATATTTTTCTTTCTCAGTCATTTTAAAAAGTTTTCTCCATCAAGAGATAAACTATATTCCTCTTGGCTGAAGGCTGATGTCCTTCAACTCAGTTAATTTGCACTTCTAGTATCTTACCAGCCACCTTGCCTTGTCTAAAGGCACCACGGGATGGTTACGCCCTAAGCCATTTTCCTTAAGATGTATGACAATAAACTGTCGAAACTTATATTATCATATTTTCCCCAACAAGGCCAGCTGAACTGGTGCATATCATATTTAGCAGGTCGCTACAGGTTACAGCCATAGTTTGTTTGACAGATATTATTTCAAAAAATATAAGAAACGAAAACAAGGTCTATAAGTAAAACAACAAAAATAAAGCGGAATACTTCACGATAATGTATGAGAAATTCAATACATTTTCAAAATTTTACCTTGTATTTCTGGTTCCACCGAAAGCCCCATCAAGATTAAAAGGAGTAACATTGCAGTTCGGAAGAGATGCAGGACCTAACAGGTCAATCACGTGTTGCTTGTTGTGGCAAGAAGTACGCTGAGGCTCATTGCAGACAAAAAAATCTTCTTGGTCTTGATCAATTTTACTGATGATCAAGGTTATGTTGTTCTATATCAAACCTTCTAAGTTTACGTTGTTTGGATTTGAGTACTGTAAACATGTCAGGCAATAAGATACTTATTTACCTATTCAAATGTAATATGACGTAGACAGAAATGAATATTTGACCAAGAGCAGACAGCTTGCAACTTATCGATATGCAATTCAGAGTTTAGCGAGTCTCTAAGCAACGCACTATTCTCACAACTGAAGGACGTTTTTACTCTTTATTTCTTTGATTTTCTTTTCAATATCAAACCCTCCACTTTAGTGCTTGCAGTTAAAACTCGGCGTCTTTTTGAAGTGCTCTCCCTCTTTCTTTTGTTGTCTCTTCTGTTCTGCCTTCTCGGCCAACGTCACAACAAACTTCTTGACCGGCACTTGATTCACAGCTTGTGGGCGATCAGAAGCAGGGATGTTTCCAAGGCTTCGTGGTCTCCCCTGCAGACATTCTTCGTGCTACGGTATAGCGAAGCTAATGTCTACCTGTTGGGCGGGTTCCCTTGCCAAGTTCACTTCTTTCAGGATTTCATTGTTAGTCACTTTGCTCTGCCATTTGATATTAAGTAGGCGTTTGAGGCAGCGTTTCCGCATGTGATATGTATTTAGCTTACGTAAAGACATTTCATATGTTTTATTCCCTTTAATTTCAAATTGGCCCTATGTTATATTTGAGCTTATCATCAAAAGAAGAGTTTAAAGAGCAGTTGAGGTCTTTAATTTTCTGCTATCGACGATCATCTTACGTCAGCTCAAGTTCCTTGGTCACATTTTGTGCATAGAGAGCTCTCAAATTATGGCGAACGAAGCGAGCCGTGAGAGAACACTCTTGCGTGTCTTCTCGGACTCCCCCAAATGGAGGGCTTACTTGCAGGCCGCACCCGCTAACATCTACGCGTTGTATGAGCCCCTCCTCCTCCACGGGAGAAGACCCGCAAGGAGACTGCAAAAGTCCTTTTCCAGCCAAGTCCAGGAATAGATCTACCCCAATAAGCATTTCTCAGAGGATCACATCTTGCGCACTGCCCAAGACCGAGCCAGCTGGAGACGCTTTACAGTCAACTGCTCTTCGGTCAGCTGATGATGGTGATGATGATCAATTTTCTGATGATCACAATTCATCCAGGAAATATCTAAGCGTTAAAAAGACGACTCATTTATTTTTCTCCTCTTCATTTATTTTACTGTGCGATATTACAGTGTCCTTAACTTTTATACTGAATTTTTGATTAACTGTTGAGATCATGGACTTATTAGAATAAACTATTGTCCACCTCTTGATAACGATGGCTGGCTATAATTGTAGTTATATGATATTGTGAGTAAATAATCAGGGAACTTAAGCAGGAACGTTTTTGAGCGACTCGCGTCAACCGGAAGTGAGCTTTTTCTCTTTTTTCTCTTTCTCTTTTCTGGTGCCTTGACGCCACCAAATTTGTATTGCTAAGTGTCTTTACTCTTATAGAGACGATTAGCCCATACATTTGTTCATAATCACTGCACCAGTGGGAAAAAAAGTCCACTTCCGGTTGACGTGCGTCGCTCAAAAACATCGCCGCTAGACCTCCCTATTACATAGTACATTCTTTTCTATATCAAACCATGTGAAAATGACAACAGGCGCGGATCTAGGATAAATACTGACTGATTTCCTAAACGAACTCCGAAGGCGCACGCTTCTAGGGGAGTCCGGGGGCGTGCTCCCCCGGGAAATCTTTTGGATTTTAATTTCCTAATGTTCCCTTTCCTGGGATTCTGAGTCATTCAGACAGGATTTTGGCCAGTTCCATTCTCCCCAGATGAAGCCTTGGAGCTTGGAAAGTTTTTTATTTACAGTATTTAAAATATATCTATTATGAAAAATCTGACCGATTTTCGTAAAACAGTGGAAACTGGTGTGGATCCGCGCCTGGACAAGGTATCTATGTAAATCTGGCCCCGGTTGTTCAAAAGCTGGATACCGCTATCCACTGGATAAGCGCTATCCAGAGGATAAGTATTACGAAAACCAATAGATCTCTTTAGCTTGTATGTTTTTGTTTTCCCAACACAAGTCATGTGATAATACTCTAGGGAACTGTTTTTTTCAAATTTCGTCTTATTGACGCGCATATGTGCGCATAATTTATGAAGGGTCATAAGCTACGAGACAAGACAAGCGAAATCCTAAAAAGCGATATTGGCATTGGGGCAAGCGAGTGAACGTTTTTACTATTTACGACTAAAAATTTCCATTTTCAAGCCTAACGAATAAATTTGTCGCTGTTTTACGGCTAACCCAAATTGAGACTCTCATGGAAGGGTAATTATTGAATATAGGAGTTAGGACCAGTTAGCAACCGATTATCATTCAGTGCTCTCGATGGTTACATTTCGAACATGTCAATTATCTCTGCGTACTTTCAAGTTAGAATGAAAGCTAGAATAGCTTATTGAGGAACTGCTCGACAGCGCCTTCAGTGTGATAAGAGGTAATTTTGTCGATGTCATTCTGTTGAATCCCGAACTTTTTACCAATAGCTTGAGCAAGTACTGCTGCTTTTTTCAAAGACGAATTCACATCATCAAATACTTTTCGCAGTCTATTTTTCGTCTCGCAGTGAGCGAGGAGCGCTTGGGCCACTTTAAATTTCAAGTTGTTCGTTTTCCTGATCTTCTCTTTCAAATAATTAATCTTGCCTGAAGCAGGGTGTTCTTCCTTGACCTCCAAACTTTCATTGTGTTTTGACTCGAGCTGGCGAGCATGCGTCCATTTGATCACGTGATGCTCCATTCCTGAAGGTGTTTTGGCGGTATCTTTATGATTTTCAGCATCTGAAATATTTTTGTTGGTCAATTCTCTTGTTGTATTCTTAGTCCCTGACTTAACCTGGAACTGAGGAGCTTTCTCTTGTTGGCGGTTTTTTATTTGATGTGTGCTTGAGTCTTGCTTCACGAAAACTTGATTTGACTTCTCCAGCGTTTTCGGAACGTTTTTGCTCGTGGACATTTTGGCTTGATTGGCTGATGAACTCAAATCTTTAGCATCACCATTAATTTTCTTTGCATGTGCGGTTTTTTTAATTACAGATCCTGAAACTTTCTTCTGTCTTTCTTGTTTGGGCACATCTTTAAATCGAGGAGCTTCATGCTTTTCATTAACACTATTTGCGACGGCATTTTGAACATGAGACCCCGACTCTGCTGATGAGTCTAAGCTCTTTTCAGAGCCGAGCTTCTCATTTTTCTTCTCTTTAGAAGTAATATTTTTACTGTTTATCACCTTAAACAGATTCTTTTTCTCATCTTTTTGAGGTTGTGGAATTTCTCTTTGATGACTTGGTTCCACTACAGTTTGATGCTGTTGTTTCTTCACGTGATCAATTGCAATAGCCACTTCTTTCTTTGATTTCTTTGCGCGCTTTTCTTCAGTAGATTTAACAACCATAGCCTCCTGAGAAGAGTTTCGAAGAACGTCGTGCTTGTGTAATTTCCTTATTGCCTTATCGTTAGCTTTTTTTTTTTTGGAATACTCTATTTTTGAAAAATTTTCTTGTGATTTTGTTTGCATCTTTAATAAAGCATCATTCTCTGGATGCTTAAGCTCTGAAGACAATTTCTGCTTCTTTGGTGGGACGATTTTACTACCTTTTGCGTGTTTATTTTCCTTTATTTCCTCCTCACTACCCTGCTTAACAGCTTTAATATCCTTGGAGTTATCCACGAATTTCTTCTTTTGGTTATTCCTTTTAGCAGCATGGATTTTCTTGATGTTTTCCATGACTTTCCAATATTTGTCCAAGCCTTTTTGGTGGAAATATTTTCGAAGAACGTTTGGTGCTAACTTGGATAGTATGTCCAGTACCCTCTTGTGTTTCTTTGTTAGTTTAATATGTGTGCCTTTCGCATGCGCTTTTGACACAGGTCTTGGGATGAGCGATTTTTTGCTACCTGTTTCAATTGTGTATTGATCACTGCTTGCAATAAACTCGGCGAGTTCTTTATAAGTTTGCTCAGAAACACCCGCATCTTTCTTTGGTTCAGAATCTCCCTCAATCAGCGCTTTCACGAGGCGTGCTTTACTTAACTCGTCCATCGCTAATTTACCTTTATCATCTGCTTTATCTTTTCCTCCTCCTTTCTTTGTGTGATGTTTTACTAGTCCTTGTTTCTTTATCACACGAATTGAATTCCTTTTTCTCGCGTTTTGATGATGACCTTTGGCCACAGGATCACTCCTCGCTTTTTTGATCTTGTTCTTTCTAGCAGGAACCCCGCTCTCTTTCTTGTGATACTTCTTTGCGTTATTCTCAACATCTCTTTTGACGATCAGTTGGCTGGCTTTTGATAAAAAATTTGTATCGCTTTGTTTGTCTTCGTCGTCCTCATCTATAGATCGGTGAGAGCGAATGTGTACCTCCTCGTCTCCCTTTAACAAACTTCCGGATTCCGTTAGGAGCCATCGATTTATCTCGTTGGCGATTATTTTGGATTCCCTTTCTGCCTCCTCTATAACGTCCTCTAGTCTTGGACCTGCTTTAGCTGCACAGAAGTTAGCAAAAAAAAGAAAAACAGATAAATTGTTCGAAAGTGTTCAAACGGGGGAGAAGCGCGCGAGAGAGAAAACAGTTGCCACTCGTCACGTGTTTTGGAAGCTGACGAAATTACTGTGTGCTACGTTAGGCTCGATTTTCAGCGACCCAAGAGAGTCTGCTACGAGAATAAACGATTTCTCTCATTTTTTTTATAAGAGCACATCATCAAAACAAAAGTATTGCCTTATCTGTGACGCATTAACTGCTTTAGCCTTCGTAGCAGTAGGCTCGATTACCACATCACCAGGTCGAGATAAGGAAGCACTACAGACAATTGTGGGACTACTAATCCAGACACCGAATTAAGACGGATCCGGAAGTCCCCTCTCAAAAAAAACTTTTTCTAGGCTCTGCGGACCTCAGTTTCACTGAAAAATGAAGTTAAGGCCCACCCCACCGCTCTCTCGCCCTCCGCCCCACTTGATATGCCATCGTCGACTGCAAACCAGACTCCCACCAGCAAACGGCTGAGACGGCAGAAACGTAAACGAAACGACAAACGGCTGGAAACAGAGCTTCTCAGCAAAACTTTTGAAATGAAAGAAAATTGGTGGTTACTAGGGATTTCATGTAGGATTCCATCAGCCATTTCTAGGTTCTACTCTGTTCACCAGGAAGAAGCTTATAACCGGGATTATATGCTTCTGACCAGGTCATAAGCAACGCAAAAAATAAAATGGGTGATTAGGGGACATCGTCCGTACCGTGTGTCCCAACCCTCGCCTTTAACCCAGTTAAATATTTCGATGCTTACCATTTGTTAACTGTAAAAAAGCTCCAACGAAGAATAAGAATAAGAGGGAAAATCGTGAGCGTGAACTATAGCTTGACTCCATGATCTGGCATTCTAGAAAGGAATTAAATTAAACAGAAGTCAATGCACGTTATTTTTAAAGTTGATCCTGCAATATTATTCGTAGTAGGTCTGTATTGCATGCGTAGCTTGCGCCAGATCAGAGCACTAAAGGCGCGAGGATGAAAAAGTTGATTAAATACTCCCTTAAGAAACTTTGAAACGAGGATTGAAATAAGAACAAGCTTCTGAAGTTTGGGAATGCGCGTGTAATACTGTTAAAGGGCTCATGCGACAGGGGCACTCAACGACTGTTTTCTGTAAAATATCTGTTCGGAGAAGCAGATGTTGGCTAGAATGTTCTATTACTTAAGGAAGGCTAAAAATCTCTAGATGACCGTTGCCTTCATGTACAAATTTAGAAGCTTATCTAATAAATTCCCTACGATTTTCTTAAGTTTGATGTTTCACATTGCACTCCTCAGGTCAGAGTATTTTTCTTAGGAAAAAGGAAACGTAAAATTTTCGGATTTAAAACTGTGATAGAGAGAGCAATCAGAAAAATTCCCACTTTCGTCATACGTTAAATTGCATCCAAAATTTTCGGGAAAGTAACACTGAAGCCCTGAAAAGACTGAAGTTCCCCTAAGATGACCGAAAAGATACAAATTTTATATCGCGGCTTGCAGGAATCCATTTTTAGATATCTAAAAGGACCCTGGATAGCTTGAAAAGTGTTCTCAATGAACTTAGGAGGAAACCGTCGTTGGGTGCCCCTGATGCGAGTAATATGCGAACATTTTCATTTTGCTTGCATTAATCGACTTGAACAGTGTGCAGTGTGGCCCAACACTTTCATCAGGCCTAGGCGGTTAGTATATCAGGGCAGACAATACACCCTATAGCCTGCGTAGCAAGCGTTTCCGTTTAGTTTCGGAGCAAAAAAAAGGGGGGAATGGGATTTTCGGTTTTGACCGTGCGAGAAATGAGACGAGAGCCATTTTTCGCGCGGTCCTTGACTCTTGTTCCTCGTTCTTTGCTCCTAAACCGCACAGAAACGCTTGCTACGCACGCTATACACCCTACTATTAATAACACTAAAGGCAACCTTTCATTTCTAACACCCCTTCAGCCAAGTTCTGGTCTCAGTTAAGTTCTGGACGTGAAAGCAAACAATGATATTTGCATCTACTAAAAATGTTATTCCACGAAGGCTACTGATCGTTCAAAATCCACTGAATTTATTTATTGTGTGTCTGACGGCCTAAGCTTCGCATTTTTGACATCGAAAAAAAAAAATAGCAACAGGGCCGACTACGTCATAAGAAAAATTTTGTTTGTAAACCAGTATCTGTTCCGGATCCCTTCTATTATAAAACAACGATCAGAACATTTTTGTTGCTAAAAATTAGAATAAACTAAAGAAATATTCAAGTAACTTTTCCGTTGATTCAGAAGAGTTTTCCATTGGAAGGGTCGACAAATATTTACTTTACTATTGGGAAGACTATGTTATTTAACTCAGCTATGTCACATGCGCAAGATCTTTTCAAGGGCATGAGTTAAAGCTTAATCGAACTCTGTAAAGGTCTCTTATGGAACAAGAGCTTGCTTGTTATTGAAAATAATACTAAGGGAAAAATAAAACCAAGGCTTATCGGTGAGAGACTGACAGATTTTAAAACAATCAAAGCTAACAAACTAGCATACAGAGCCGCACTCAGTGCCTGGAATATGCAAGCTACACAGGCTGGTATGTTGCTTAGAAATATTTATAATTCCTCAATTCCGAAATGAAACAGCAGTAACGTATAAACTTGGTGCACAAGCTTACCTCTGAAACCACCTCGTCTGTTCTGAGCCTTTCTATCCATGATTTTACTTGTGGAATTTTCTACTTCTTTCCAAAACCGGCAGAACTCACAACCCCATGACGACCTTGCGATTCACTGATCAAAAAGACTTCCAACTCCGCGAGGGGTTCTTATTGTTGAAGGTGGAGTTTTCACACCAACTTTCCGGTGGAAAATTCTTTCCTCTCCAGTGTGCAGTAAGAGTACCTGTTGAGTGTGATTACTTATTCATGATGTTATTAAAAGTGCTTAGTGACGCACCCTGGAATCGTGTGTTCATTTGCCGATAGGGGATTCTGATGTTTTACTGCAGTCTTGTGTTCTAACTATGGGATTGTAAGATATACTTTGTTCACGATAATGGGGACTTTACAGCAAATTGCTATGGCGACCTCTACTATGGCGGCAATAGGTAAAAATGACCCAGTGCGCATGCTTGGAAATGACCTTTCGCGCCAAACCCTACTACGTTAACAAATGTCGTGTGGCGTAGTCGCCACTACGTGAGTATATAATTCGACTTTTCTCCTATTTTTAACAATCACTAGTTTTAAACCTATCATAGTTTGTCTTTCATTTTATCAAGAAAGTATATGATGCTTCTGGATATTCCGCAGCAACTATGTCTTCGTCTTTACCGACAGCGAAAGTAAATTAGCGAGAAACCCCGTAGTCACTGTTTGGTTGCCGCTTGCTTAAAGTTGAAATTTTTGCAGGCTATGGTGGTGTCTCTTGGACTATAATTACTCTTCCCAGGACTCCGTATCCGCGACCGCCGAAGTAGAGCACGCCGTAGCGATTTGCTCAAAGTGGTTTTATCATGCGATTGAAATCATTAAGTGAAATTTCAGACAATTTCAATGAGTCACAGAGTCCTTTCGACGGAGGGTAGTTTTTTTCTCTCTCTGGTTAAGGGCTTAAGCTCGAAAAATTAGCTATTAAACCCTTAAAGAATACAAATAAAAATACAAATTTCAAGACTCAGAACAAAATTTAAAATAAAATCGAAAATGTAATGTTAGGCCGGAGTAAGTAGAGTGGAAGGGAAATTGGATGACTTTCATTTTATGCTATCTTTCAACAGTGAAGCCATTCACAAAGTAATGCTACTTTTTTTACTTTACCTGACTCTAATGTGAGGAGGAACTAAACAAGCATTTAAATCCCTGTGTTGAATACGAATCAGTTAACACTACAAATTTAAAAAACCTTGATAAACCTTATAAACTAGCCTCGATTAATCAGAAAGTTCTTTTTAATGAAAGGTTTGAGGATCAGTGTATGATATCTTTAAGAAACATAGAAGTTGTTCCAAGACACCGAGGTTTCTTAGGATTGTTAGTTCTGTGAAGGATTTTAAATGCTTCTATTTCTTGAAGTGCACGTAATCAAGTCCCATGTGTTCACCAGCATGTACTAAGGCGATTTCCGCTTTGCGAATAACATCCTTGACCATCCTATTTCCACCTTTTCCTTTCTTTCTTAACGTAGCAACCTTATCCGCCAGTGCAACGTACTGTTTGGCAATTTTCAGTTTCTTTCGAGCCTTGTTTAACTTCCATTTAATTTCATCAACTTTCGATTTAAATTTCGGGACCTTTTCTAGTAGTACCGCGGCGGCAGCAGACGTTGACTCTGCCCCAGTCCCCGAGCCTGAGGCCTCGGCGTGCATAAGTTCGGTGATCAGTGAGCGATTGCTGTCACGTGGTTTCGACTTTTTCTCTAAAACAGCAAAGGTAAAAAATGAAAAAATAATAAACAGGGGCAGAGAATCACTCAGTACAGGCCCATACACACGACTAGGAGACTAAGATGGTATTTAAAGAACTGTCTTTGTTTGCAACCCTTTAAGGTAGGGCTCCTTTACGGAGCGAGAGCAAAAAACAAAAGTAAGGTTTAACCAGGAGTATTCAGACTCGCGCTAACTTTTGCGCCATGCTCACACGGGAAATCATGCTACTGTGTAGGCAGAATATGTTTTTTTAAATACTAAAAGAAAAACAGTAAACTGATCCTTAATGCAAGACGACTGAGAGAAAAAACATACACAAATATCAAGTGCTAAGGTGTATTTGCCCCGATATTTTGGTTCCCAAACAACTCATTCCCAAGGTCTCACTTCTTCCCGTATCTCTCGTCACAGTACAGGGCTCCCCCACAGGTGAAGGGAAGAAGAGAACCCCTGAGGTGTGCATACCATTTACACAAACCACCTGAGTGGAAATCGTGTGCGTAAACATAAAGCTATAAACTTTGACGTGGTGGGAGAACGATGACTGCGATCTCAAAAAGAAGGGAAAAAACAATACTTTTAATTTAGCAAGACAACAACTTTGTTCTTTCATCACCCTTCCTTGTACATTACTTTTTTGCCCTAACACGATTAAGTCGACGTGAAACTTTAATAGGACGTGAACATAAGACAACGATTTTACTTTTCATGAACTCAGATACAATGTTTTAGAATTCAACTTCAGAAAAATTCGTCAAAATTTGACCATTTAAACGAAATGGAATCAGAAGCGATGAAGTTTGAAACAGCGCAAGCTCCATTTTTAATTAAGTGACGCTTTTACTGCCGTTGCCGTAATGGTTGCTTAAGCTCCCTATTCGAACCGAACCACTTCCAAGGGGACTTTAGTTCATGATCTCGCAGCCGCTGTCTAGAAACTACTGAGCCACGAGAGACTTATGCTTAGCCAAGTGTCAGTTACCAAGTGAAGTGTCAGTTACTAGTCCACTCGCTCCAACCTAGAAATGGACGACAGTCTCTCACGTTGGGGGGTTGGGGCGAGGGAGCGGTGGACACTTTACGCTACTAATGGTAAGTAAGGTCGCACAACTGCAATCACGGACGAAAATATTTATCGCTGTTTTTCTTTTTCATAATCACTGAAATCGCTTGTTAAGTTTTTACAGTCCATCTAGGATTGACTTAATGTGCATTCGACGAGTTCAGTTGAACACGGAGCTTGGGCGAGAAGTAATCAAGAGGTTAAAAGCGCTAACCTTCAATTAAAACACTTTATACTAAGCATTACAAAACGACCTTTTAATTCTCGTATCTTAGCTCTTCACCTGTCAGTTTGCCATAGTTTGAATTATAGAGACACGTATTTAATTTATTATATAGCTATTATTTTGTCATTTAAGGAGTAACTGTCCTTAGTTTACTTTCCTTTTCATAGCTCGTAAGTGGCAAAACTATGCTAAACAAAATAGCTTGACTGGCTGCCGTGACAGTCCCTTAGTAAAACGAAAAGTTCCGCCTTGAGACATTCTCCGTGCGCATGTCACTTCAGTGAACTTCTGTCAACTTTGAAGAGGATTTCTTCAAAGTCTGATTCCATAAGAAACCGTCACTCTGACTAGAATAAGATGGAAATACTTTGACTAATGTATAAAGATTCATTGAAGGACAAGAGTATAATGGCCCCTGATACAAAAGAAGAACTCCGTAAAAAGACCAACGGGTACCAGCCAGGGCCCAGATTAGCTCTGAATAAGACTAACGCGAGGTAGCTTTAATTTGATACGTACCTTCTTTTGCCAGGACCAGTGTTACTGTTCCAAACAGGACTAAAAGAACTCTATTTGCTCTGTTAAACCTCATCTTTACTTTCAAAGCAGTCAACTTGTCAGTGTTGCTGACTGAACACAAATAACGAGAGAAAACCCAGTTGACTCTAACACGTGCTATAGTTCC